AGTCATGAGGAAGGAGGCAAAATCATGATGACAAGGAGTTCAGCTGGCAAAATCATGGTGATAAGTTTTAAACTGGGCATTAAACTCCATTCAAAAGACCCAACACTGGGCAGCGAACTTATGTAGGGAATTGGTACACATATACCTTGCTGTCAGCTCAAGCCAATGGAACACATGCACAACTGAAGATCAATAAACTACACATGGTTTACCGTGGTATTAAAGAAGTTCCATCCACCTCCCTGGTTCTGTCTGTAGGGGCCATAGCTGCTAGCAACTGCACAAAGACAAAGCGAAGCCAGCACAATTTCATCTCATCCATCAACACCAATGTAGTCTCCCCACTCCTCTGTCCCCATGCCTCTCTTCTGACACCACTTCTCCCTTCCCTCTCACTGCATCCAACATTCTTGCTGCTGCCACAGCTGGCAAGCTCTCTCTCTCTCTCTCTCTCTCTCTCTCTCTCTCTCTCTCTCTCTCTCTCTCTCTCTCTCTCTCAAACGGTAAGTTCGGTGCGAAATTCATCGAAAATTTCAAAAACAAACGATATGGGCACATAGTGCAAACATAAAAAAAAGCAGGAGGCCAAAGAAAACGGAAAAAAAAACAAAAAAGTTGAAAAAACACTATAAAACCATAATACAAAAACACTGTCCGAGTTAAAATGAAGCGTTTAACGAATTCAACGAAATGCCAACTTTTTCATTTTTGATCCAAACATGTCAAAACTGGACACATGATGTACCGTAAAGCACATATATGTCACACAAAAAGAAAAACAAAAAAAAAAGCAAAATATCAGCACAATGTGACAGTTTCGGTGCAAAATTCGCCGAAAATAACACCCCTGGTTAACCACATGTTCCCCCCACCTCCCTCCCTCTCTCTCTCTCTCACACACACAGAGAGACACGCATGCATGCACAAGGTAGCATCTGACAGTGGGGTTAGTTCTCTCTCTCTCTCTCTCTCTCTCTCTCTCTCTCTCTCTCTCTCTCTCTCTCTCTCTCTCTCTCACACACACACACACACACACACACACACACACACACACACACACACACACATGCATGCATGCACAAGGTATCGTCTGCCAGTGGGGTTGGTTGGCATCAGAAGGTCAGTGCAAGTAACTGTCTGGAAAAGCACAGACAGCACCATCGGCTGCTGTCTTCCCCCAAATAGAATGTACGGTCGTCATAGCTGTATTTGGGGCAACTTTTAGTCTAAGATACGACGGTAATGACCATACGTACTATTCGGGGAAAGGCGGCAGCAGGTATGAATTGCAAGACACATGGTTATCGGCAAAAATCTATTGAGGAAGTACAAGCATGTGAAATGAACCTCCAATTGACATTCAGAGATTGGAATGCTTCCACTCATTACCGCAACGGACTCCAAATACATACATGAAATGCAAACACCACAGAAATATCAGTCCAAAAATGAAGGAGATGGAAAGAAGAAGACATGAAACCACAAAAGTGACTTAGTCAATTAGCCCCCTTCGCGCCACCTTCTCAACCTCCTTCCCTACAGATTTGCCATCTTCACAAAATGACTGAAGCTGATGCATCCAGCCATCACTCCACTGACGCTTCGCCTAAACCACCTTATGCCTCCCCCTCCATAGCCAAGTAACTGTTCATTTTTCTCCTCCCTACCAACAGTGTCTCTCTATTATTGCCACCTTCCAGAGGGGTCCTTGATGGCTCCTAGCTCAAGTACCACTCCTCCCCAACCTCGACAGTCTATAGCCAAGCAGTGCTAATGCAGGTGAGCTTCTACCATAGCCAAAGCTTGAAGTACCACTCAGGCCCGCTCAGGGCCGTGTCCCTTAGGTTGGTGCTAGCTCTCTTAGGCTAGCCCTGAGCGTAATGGCTAATGAAAAACCCGAGCAACCTCGCAGACTTCTCTCCAAAAGATGTAGCAACATGGAATGACTGGAAATGCATAGGCAGGCAAGATGACTGGTCAGTCGGCAAAGGCTGCTGTCCTGGCACACAGCAGTACAGGCCCAAAACAATTGCCAAAGCACTTGCCAAACTCGGCAAGCGTGATGCAACCAACCACAGAAAAACTGCTGTAGATTTCCAGAAGGACTTGCAAATTTGGCGAGTGTTGCATAACCAAAGACATTGCTAAGTAGCAGCTGCTGGCTCTGGTACTGATACCTATAGCCTGGCAGTATAAGTTGCAAATATGGGCCCTGGATTTGCCTGTAAAGTCATCGCACAGCGCAAGTGCCCACCTTAAGGCGTGGGACAAAAAAAATTCCCATCTGTGCCCCCAGCCCCACCCTGGGCGAGTCCTCTAACTTTTCCGAATGACTCATTTTTTATGTCAAACGTTTGTCTGGGCGGTGTAATTGTGGTTTAAGGCTTATGCTCCCTCCTCTCCTCAAGGTTGCGTATCTCGTCCATGTCCAGCATGGACATTCGAAGGACAACGCACTTCTATCATGCCTCTTCCCTCTCATGGCCCCATAGCCACACTCCAGGATGAAGTCCATGTCCAACCGTTACCCCAACAGGGGCCTTTCCGTTGCGGCGCCAACCGAAGAAGTACCGATGAAGGTCCACCATAGCCAAAGCTAGGTCTCTCTTGTCGGTTCCCTTCTTCTTCCTCCTCCTCTCCCTCTACTCTCCTCTTCCACCTGCCTTCACAGCCAGCACGAGGTTCTTCTCACTCTACCTCCATAGCCTTGGCCTACTCCATTGTACTACTACTCCAATGCCATCGAGGTTTTTGTCCTCGCCCTCAACTCCTCCTTCAACCCAGAGCTCCGCTTAACTCTCCCTCAGGGTGGAGCGTCAGCACGAGTGCCAGGTGAATCACAAACAACTCTCGGCCTCCAGTACCTCTACCCAGGCACTCCCAGCCTCCACCAGTGCACTAGGTTCTGGCAGAAGTTCTTGCCTTTTGCTGGGAACATCACCAAAGCCTGCCATTCACTTCCAGGGGCTTAACCTCACCTGATACCTACCTACCTAGTAAATTCGGGTCCTTGATCATCATGACCTACTTGGAAAATCCTACCTGGTTCCTCTCAAATTCTACTTTTGTCCTTGTCCATCCTAGATTTTTTTTTCTTCTCTTAATTAAAAAAGTGGACTTGCCTCACCTACGTGTGGCATACTGCGTAGCCACACGGGCCCTGCAGGGCCCGTCCCGCACTTCCAGCCTAAAAGCCTAGAAAATAAGGGCTTACAGGCCCCGGTCGTTTCAGCCTGAAACTGAAAACGAGGGCCTGCAGGCCCTATTCCGTTTTCAGCCTATTTCTGGGCCTTTCAGGCCCAGAGGCTTTTCAGCCTGAAACAGAGGGCCATTTTCAGGCCCTCATCGTTTCGACCGACCCTAGGACTCAGGCACAAAAACAGGGTTTTCGGAACAGGCTATCTTTAGCCTGTTCCCCACAACAGCTCGAGCAGGAGCTGCAGCTGCAGCCCCTGCCTCCCTTCGGCATTGGCAAGAGCAGCCTCCTGGACTGCCTCGCCGGCAGTCAGGAGGCACCCGGTAGTACATAGGAAGTCCCATGCACTTCACGGGTAGGTAGTTGGACAGTAGGCACGAGTAGTCTTCAGGATTCAGCGCAGCACTCAGGAGGAGCGCTGCAGGGAGTAGCTTAGCGCTAGCACTAGTCTTCAGCGCTGGGCGCTAGTAGCCATAGCAGTAGTCTTCAGCGCTGGGCGCTAGTAGGTGGTCGATCGTAGAGTTGGGAGAGATGGCTGGCGGAGGCCAGCGAGACTTACCTGTGGCGCCATAGCTCCAGCTCCATCTTCGAGGTACCTGCATCAAGGCGCCAACTTCACAGGTTAGTACTGGACTGAGAGAGAGAGAGAGAGAAAGAGTTCTTTTTCCTCTTCTTCTAAGTCCACCATCTCTTCTTCCCCTCTCACCACCTGACTTCTCAGTATCAGCGGACTACTACAGAGAGAGAGAGAGTTCTTCTTCTTCCTCTTCTAAGTCCACCATCTCTTCTTCCCCTCTCACCACCTGACTTCTCAGTATCAGCGGACTACGACAGAGAGAGAGTTGTGACTTGGGACTTGACGACATTGGATCCAGACTTGACAGTTGGGATTCAGACATTTCGACGAGGGACTATTTGGGCCTGTGCAGAAGACTTGGTGTTGACGACATTCMCATCTTCCCCTCCTCTTCGTCTAACCCCCTTCTTCTTCGTTTGTGTATGGTAGGGGCTGTCGCAGTCTTCCTGGGTGAAGCGCTAGACCCTATTCACACCATGTAACGATGATGATGATGTATGTTCAGGGCTGCATTGCAATATCGATTGTTCGGATCACTGATATCTAAGTCTTCCGCTACGCCATCTTGTACTTTGTATTGAGAGGTCGGTTCTTGTTCTGGTCAGCACCGTTACAGTATGCAACAGTTTGGTATCGGAGCGGAGCTCTCATTCAGAGGACCTGCTCAATCAAGTAGCCATCTTGCTTGATCTATTGATCACTCATTAGTAAATCGAGTAGGACTTCGTCAAATCTCTGAAAGTTTTTTTTCTCGCAACAACTATCTGAAAATTTCTGATATTCGCATTTCGTTTTACGTGAAAATTTCTGATATTGGTACTTCATTTTCAGGTAACAAATATCTGAAAATTTCTGATAAATTGCATTTCGTTTTGTCTCAAAATTCCTGACAGTAGCATTTCGTTTCTCTGATATTTTACATACATAGCTGAAATTTCTGATGTTAGTATTTCGTTCTCTAGACATATTGGGATAACGATAGAAGTGGTTATATTCTCGGAAACTGGAATTATTCTTTTCTGAAAATCGAATTTCCATTCTATCTCGCAATTTTTTTTGAAAACCGAAATCTTGCGAAGCCTACCAACATTCGATAGGCATATTCGGAGGTTGCCATATTCTCAGAAACGGGATTTAGTTCTTTTCTGAAAATCGCATCTCTATTCTATCTCGCAAWTTTTTTTTTCAAGATCGCATTTTGTGAAAGCCGAAACTTTGCGGAACCTAGCCTAGATCTCGTTCATAGTACTCTTCTGACATGTCTCACTCATAACAGATCGACAGACATACAAAAAAAAAAAGGAGAAAAAAAAAAGGAAGTAGTCCTCTTTTATTTTTTTTTATTTTATTTTATCTGTTGATTAGGGCCGGGAGGAAGGTATTGTTGGGTTGGTTCCCTACCTGCGCTTTCCCTCCCCACCCACCCTTTGCATGCATTTCCGAGTTGGTACAGTGCCACGTCAGCAATGCCACGTCAGCAACAGTGCCACGTCAGCAGTGCCACGTAAGCAACAGTGCCACGTCAGCAGTGCCACATCAGCAGTGCCACATCGTTCACAGTGCCACATCAGCAGTGCCACGTCAGCAGTGTCACGTCAGCAGTGTCACGTCAGCAGTGCCACGACAGCAACAGTGCCACGACAGCAACAGTGCCACGTCGGTCACAGTGCCACGTCAGCAGTGCCACGTCAGCAACAGTGCCACGTCAGCAGTGCCACGACAACATTGCCACGTAAGCAACAGTGCCGCGTCACAGTGCCACGTCAGCAGTGCCCCGCCACCATGACGGGCGCAGCTCTGGGCATGCCAGGCCAACTGGCCAACGAGTCTTTTGCCGACTACAAGCAGCGGTTCCAGGCTCAGCTCGCTCTGATCGAGGCTGAGGAACAGCGCCAGCTGGCAGCCCAGGCTGCCCGCCTACAGGCTGAAGCAGCGGCAACAGCTGAGAAGCAGCGGCTACAGGCTGAAGCAGACGCAGATACCCAGGCTCGCCGCAAGGAGGCCCAGGATCTACTGCAACGGCATGAAGCCGCCAGCATCGAAAGACAAGTTCTGGCACTTTGAACCGTCCAACGGCGACGACGCGACACCGGAAGAGCAGCATAAGGAGGTCCTCTCCAAACTCATGACACTGTTGTTGTACGCTTGCAACTACCAACAGCCCGAGTTAGAGAGACAGAACCAGGAACTGCAGCAACAGTACCAGGATCTGAAGACACAGCACCAGGAGTTGGCGAACCTCCGCCGGATGGTGCACAGCCACGAGGATGCTACACGGGCACTCAATTCCCGTGTACTGGACCTGGAGCAAGTTGTACCAGGACCAGATGCTGGTGAGTCCAGCAGTCCACCCTCTAACCGCCAACTGGAGCAACGCGTCGACCATGTCGTCGCAATGCTCGACGACATCAGCACCTTCGCTGCGCCGACCACCATCAGCAATCAGTTGGAGACTTTGAAGACTGAGGTCCAGCAACTGCAGTCGACGAACACGGATGGCAACAATCCAAAGCAATACAAGATGCCAACCTTTCAACTGGAGAAGTTCGACGACTACACACATCAGGACCAGGTGCTCCGGTGGAAAGCTTTCACGACGCAACTTCGGATTCTGCCTGTCGCCAAGCACGCGTACATCGGCGCCCTGTTCATAAACTCAAAGGGCGGATGCCAAATCTGGTTAACCCACCTGGCAGCCACCCACGGCGTCGACATCGCAGATCTGAGAGACAAGATCACATGGGGAGAGTTAACACGGCTGTGGAAGAAGCGGTTCATCGTCGACGATGCACCATCACTTGCCATCAACCGTCTCTTCACCATGACTCAAGGCAACACAGCAACACGTGACTGGCTCACGGAATGGCAGAAGATCGCGACAACGCCCGATCTTGACTTACCATTTCCGCATCTGCGCCGTGAGTTCTACAACAGGTCATGAGCTGCATTGAGCAAGGCGCTTGGTGATCGCGAGCAGTATGCAACTTTCGCCGAGATCATTGACAAGGCGAGAGAGATCATCAAGACCAACATGGCGGCTGCACACTAGACGTCAGCGTGGAAGCCAACCTATGTGGAGAAGGTGAGAACTGGTTCGCGACAGCAGCAATTCGCTTCAGTCCAATCGGACAACACTGTGGAAGACCTGGCAGCCACCCAAGCGTCACGTGAGGGAGATCAGGTGGCTGCTGCCCAACCGCGAAGCAACAACAAACCCCGAGTGAACGGGAAGGCGAAACCAGTATCGCAGGCCGGAAACGGACAGCCAGCACCACCATGGGTCAAGTTCAACTTGACCGAGGCCGACTACAAGTACCGCAACTGTTACAGCTGCGGTTACTGGTGCAACAACACCAAGCACAAGACCTCCATTTGCCAGGATCAGGCCAAGGAGGATGTGCGGCCTCGTCTTAACTCGGGAAACTAAGTTTCGCGGGAGGTGAGGCGACTCCACCCCCCACTCCGCCAGATTCGGCTGCCTTGCTATTGGCCTCCTACACATCAGGGGAGGATGTGAATGCCGTAAGTTCTCGGTATGCTTACGAGGACTATGCTGTCCACTTGGTCCCACCGCTGGACCAACCGCTCCACGTGCAACAGGAGGAGCGCTGCTGGGAGTAGCTTAGCGCTAGCAGTAGTCTTCAGCGCTGGGCGCTAGTAGCCATAGCAGTAGTCTTCAGCGTTGGGCGCTAGTAGGTGGTAGATCGTAGAGTTCGGAGAGATGGCTGGC